TTATGAATCTATGCAATAAAACAAAAATTAAATATTTTTTAATTTTTCATCGAATATGTGGGTTAACCCCCACGAATATATCGAGTTTTCTGAATATTTTATATACTGAAGTTTATGCTATTTATTGTTGATTTAAAATACCTAATCACATTAAAAATATACATATATATTATTGTATGTTCAAATTTATTTTATAGTCAGTGAACATGTTTTTTAATTTTTCAAGAGTAATTTAATAATCACCTAATTCTGCGGAATAACCACTATAAAATATGTATTTTCTTGAAAAATGGGAATAACTAAGGTTTTAAACCTCTTTAATCTTCATCATATGACAGTGTATTATGAATCTATGCAATAAAATAAAAATTTAATATTTTCTAATTTTTCATCGAATATGTGGGTTATAACCCCTACGAAAATATCGAGTTTTCTGAAAAATTCTATATACTGAAGTTTATGTTATTTATTGTTGATTTAAAATACCTAATCACATTAAAAAATATATACTAATGTATTTTCAAATTTCGTTTATAGTCAGTGAACATGTTTTTTTATTTTTTCAAGAGTAATTTAATAACCACCTAATTCTGCGGAATAACCCCTATAAAATATGTATTTTCTTGACAAATGGAAATAACTAAGGTCTTAAACCTCTTTAAACTTCATAATATGACAGTGTATTATGAATCTATTCAATAAAATAAAAATTTAATATTTTCTAATTTATCATCGAATATGTGGGTTAACCCCTACGAAAATATCGGGTTTTCTGAAACATATTATATACTGTAGTATATGCTATTTATTGTTGATTTAAAATACCTAATCACATTAAAAATATATATTAATTTATGTTCAAATTTCTTTTATAGTCAGTGAACATTTTTTTTAATTTTTCAAAAGTAATTCAATAATCACCTAATTCTGCGGAATAACCCCTATAAAATATGTATTTTCTAGACAAATGGGAATAAATAAGGTCTTAAACCTCTTTAATCTTCATCATATGACAGTGTATTATGAATCTATGCAATAAAATAAAAATTTAATATTTTCTAATTTTTCATCGAACATGTGGGTTAACCCCTACGAAAATATCGAGTTTTCTGAAAAATTGTATATACTGAAGTTTATGCTATTTATTGTTGATTTGAAATACATAATAACATTAAAAATATATATATTAATGTATGTTCAAATTTATTTTATAGTCAGTGAACATGTTTTTTAATTTTTCAAGAGTAATTTAATAATCACCTAATTTTGCGGAATAACCCCTATAAAATATTTTTTCTTGACAAATAGGAATAACTAAGGTCTTAAACCTCTTTAATCTTCATCATATGACAGTTTATAAGGAATCTATGCAATAAAATAAAATTTAATTATTTTCTAATTTTTCATCGAATATGTGGGCCCTACGAAAATATTGAGTTTTCTGAAAAATATTATAGACTGAATTATATGCTATTAATTGTTGATTAAAAATACCTAATCACATTAAAAAAAATATATAATGTATTTTCAAATTTATTTTATGGTCAACGAACATGGTTTTTAATTTTTCAAGTGTAATTTTATAATCACCTAAGTATAGGGAATAACCCCTATAAAATATGTATTTTCTTGACAAATGGGAATAACTATGGTCTTAAACCTATTTAATCTTCATCATATGACAGTGTATTATAAGTATATTCAATAAAATAAAAATTTAATATTTTCTAATTTCTCATCAAATATGTGGTTTAACCCCTACCAAAATATCGAGTTTTCTGAAACATATTATATACTGTAGTATGTGCTATTTATTGTTGATTTAAAATACCTAATCACATTAAAAATATATATTAATTTATGTTCAAATTTCTTTTATAGTCAGTGAACATGTTTTTTGATTTTTCAAAAGTAATTTAATAATCACCTAATTCTGCGGAATAACCCTATAAAATATGTTTTTTCTTGACAAATGGGAATAACTAAGGTCTTAAACCTATTTAATCTTTATCATATGACAGTGTATTATGAATCTATGCAATAAAATAAAAATTTAACAGTTTTCAAATTTTTCATCGAATATGTGGGTTAACCCCTACGAAAATATCGNCTATGCAATAAAATAAAAATTTAACAGTTTTCAAATTTTTCATCGAATATGTGGGTTAACCCCTACGAAAATATCGAGTTTTCTGAAACATATTATATACTGAAGTATATGCTATTAATTAATGATTAAAAATACCTAATCACATTATAAATATATATTAATGTATGTTAAAATTTATTTTATGGTCAACGAACATGGTGTTTAATTTTTCAATAGTGATTTAATAATCACCTAATTATGCGGAATAACCCCTATAAAATATGTATTTTCTTGACAAATGGGAATAACTAAGGTATTAAAAATCTTTAATCTTCATCATAAGACATTAAATTAAGAATCTATGCAATAAAATAAAAATTTAATATTTTCTAATTTATCATCGAATATGTGGGTTAAGCCCTACGAAAATATCGAGTTTTCTGAAAAATTCTATATAATGAAGTTTCTGCTATTTATAGTTGATTTAAAATAACTAATCACATTAAAAATATATATTAATGTATGTTCAAATTTCTTTTATAGTCAGTAAACATTTTTTTTTATTTTTTCAAGAGTAATTTAATAATCACCTACTTCTGCGGAATAATCACTATAAAATATGTATTTTCTTGACAAATGAGAATAACTAAGGTCTTAAACCTCTTTAATCTTCATCACATGACAGTGTATTATGAATATATGCAGTAAAATAAAAATTTAATATTTTCTAATTTTACATCGAATATGTGGGTTAACCCCTACGTGAGGTTTGTAAAAATATTATAGACTTTAGTTTATGCTATTTATTGTTGATTAAAAATACCTAATCACATTACAAATATATATTAATTTATGTTCAAATTTTGTTTAAGGTCAATGAACATGGTTTTTAATTTTTCAAGAGTAGTTTAATAATCACCTAATTATGCGGAATAACCCGTATAAAATATGTATTTTCTTGACAAATGGGAATAAATAAAGTCTTCAACCTCTTTAATATTCATCATATGACAGTGTATTATAAATCTATGCAAAAAAAATAAAAATTTAATATTTTCTAATTTTTCATCGAATATGTGGGTTAACCCCTACGAAAATATCGAGATTTCTGAAAAATAGTATATACTGAAGTATATGCTATTTATTGTTGATTTAAAATACCTAATCACATTTAAAATATATATTAATTTATTTTAAAATTTCGTTTATAGTCAGTGAACATGTTTTTTAATTTTTCAAGAGTAATTTAATAATCACATAAATCTGCGGAATAACCCCTATAAAATATGTATTTTCTTGACAAATGAGAATAACTAAGGTCTTTATCCTCTTTAATATTCATCATATGATAGTGTATTATGAATCTATGCAATAAAATAAAAATTTAATATTTTCTAATTTTTCATCGAATATGTGGGTTTACCCCTACGGAAATATCGAGTTTTCTGAAAAATTGTATATACTGAAGTTTATGCTATTTATTGTTGATTTAAAATACCTAATAACATTTAAAATATATATTAATGTATGTTCAGATTTCATTTATAGTATTGAACATGTTTTTAATTTTTCAAGAGTAATTTAATAATCACTTAATTATGCGGAATAATCCCTATAAAATATGTATTTTCTTGATAAATGGGAATAACTATAGTCTTAATCCTCTTTAATCTTCATCAAATTAAAATGTATTATGAATCTATGCAACAAAATAAAAATTAATATTTTCTAATTTATCGTCGAATATGTGGGTTAATCTCTACGAAAATATCGAGTTTTCTGAAAAATATTATATACTGAAGTTTAGGCTATTTATTGTTTATTAAAAATACCTAATCACAATATAAATATTTATTTAATGTATGTTCAAATTTCTTTTATGTTCTGTGAACATGGTTTTTAATTTTTCAAGAGTAACTTAATAATCACCTAATTCTGCGGAATAACCCCTATAAAATATGTTTTTTCTTGACAAATGGGAATAACTAAGGTCTTAAACCTATTTAATCTTTATCATATGATAAGGTATTATGAATCTATGCAATAAAATAAAAATTTAATATTTTCAAATTTTTCATCGAATATGTGGGTTAACCCCTACGAAAATATCGAATTTTCTAAAAAATATTATAGACTGCAGTATATGCTATTAATTGTTGATTAAAAATACCTAATCACATTACAAAAATATATAATGTATGCAATTGAATATACTGAAGTTTATGCTATTTATTGTTAATTTAAAATACCTAATCACATTAAAATATATATATATTAATGTATGTTCAAATTTATTTTATAGTCAGTGAACATGTTTTTAAATTTTTCAAGAGTAATTTAATAATCACCTAATTCTGCGGAATAACCCCTATAAAATATGTATTTTCTTGACAAATGGGAATAACTAAGGTCTTAAACCTTTTTAATCTTCATCATATGACAGTGTATTATAAATCTATGCAATAAAATAAAAATTTAATATTTTCTAATTTTTCATCTAATATGTGGGTTAACCCCTACGAAAATATCGAGTTTTCTGAAAAATTGTATATATTGAAGTTTATGCTATTTATTGTTGATTTTAAAATACCTAATCACATTAAAAATATATATATTAATGTATTTTCAAATTTCGTTTAAAGTCAGTGAACATGTTTTTTTATTTTTTCAAGAGTAATTTAATAACCACCTAATTCTGCGGAATAACCCCTATAAATATGTATTTTTAGGTATATTCTAGTCATTTTCTCCATATTATATTCCCTAAAATATTTACATGTTTCTGTGATGAAAATAAAAAAATCGATATTTTACTCGAAACATGTGGCCGTTACTGGTCCGTTAAACTCGAAAAGATACAAAACTTTATCCTCTCTCTCTTTCTCTCTCTTGTTCTAAACACAATCCTTACAATGGAGTGGCCATGGTCAGCCATCGCTTCTCCTTCTTCCTCTAGTTGCTTCTTTACGTCTCCCAACTCTTGCGTGTCTCTTACTACACGAACAAGTTTGAATTGTGCAAACAAATCTCCACCTTTGCGACACAGCAGAGTCGACTCAAAGCATAGTCTGGTTGTCTGCAAACGTCGAATCTATGGAGATTCCATTGTCCGGAGAAGCACCACAAGCAACAAAAATGCAGAAAAGACTGAATCGTCCTCTTCTTCTCCTTCTGTAGATTGTGTCGGAATGGGATCAGACGTGGAGTGCGTTTATAACGGAGAAGAAGAAGACGAGGAGAATCAGAGCTCAGGTATCTTGAGCGGAGGAGATGGATCGTTTCTCGAATGGACGGTTCTGATTTCACCTTTCTTTTTCTGGGGGACGGCGATGGTGGCGATGAAGGAAGTGTTGCCGATAACCGGTCCTTTCTTCGTGGCTGCGTTCCGGTTAATTCCCGCCGGTTTGTTGCTGGTTGCGTTTGCGGTTTACAGAGGGAGACCTTTGCCTAAGGGGTTCAATGCTTGGCTCTCTATTGCTCTCTTTGCTCTTGTGGACGCTACTTGTTTCCAGGTCTGCTTTATTTGTCCTGAGGTATAAGACTTTAAGTTGATTAAGTATTGTCTGAATGATATGATGTTGATGTTCAGGGTTTTCTTGCTCAAGGGTTACAGAGGACTTCTGCTGGTTTAGGAAGTGTAAGGAAGTTCTGTCTGTTACCTTTGTACCCTTGTCCTGAAATGGCTAGAAGGTTGAGACTTTCTTGCAACTTTTGTGGTGTAGGTTATAATTGATTCACAGCCATTGACTGTAGCTGTATTAGCATCTTTCTTATTTGGTGAGTCCATTGGAGTAGTGAGAGCTGGAGGTTTGGTTCTTGGTGTTGCTGGACTTTTGCTTCTTGAGGTATTATAAGATTTTTATCTTTCTTAGCCAAGACTGTTCTTGCAAGTTGAGGATAAGTCTGATTAATTAATACTACAGGTTCCATCAGTTACCTCAGATGGTAATAGCTTTTCTTTGTGGGGAAGTGGAGAGTGGTGGATGCTTCTTGCAGCTCAGAGTATGGCTATTGGCACTGTGATGGTTCGATGGGTCTCTAAATACTCGGATCCAATCATGGCAACCGGCTGGGTAATGCTGCTTTACTCTTCCTGTTCAATGCCTTGCCTCCCAGAGTTCTCCTTACAAGAACTAAACTTTATCTGCAGCATATGGTTATCGGTGGCCTTCCTCTTCTGGCTATTTCCGTTATAAACCATGACCCGGTATTTAACGGCAGTCTTCAAGAGCTATCCACAAATGATATCACAGCACTTCTCTACACATCCATATTTGGCAGTGCGGTTAGCTACGGTGTTTACTTCTACAGCGCTACTAAAGGTTTTGTTTTTGCTGCCTTCTCTTGATAGTATCACTGCTTTATGTTTCAGGTTTCTGATGCTTTTGTGATGTCTCTGTTTTTGCAGGAAGCCTGACTAAACTCAGCTCACTCACCTTTTTGACACCAATGTTTGCATCAATCTTTGGGTAAGGCCACATGGTTCTTATCACAAGTTTTCAAGTCTTTGGTTCGTATTCTGATATGTTTGGTTGTGAAACAGGTATTTGTACCTGGATGAGACTTTTTCCTCGCTGCAACTGGTCGGAGCAGCTGTAACTTTGGTCGCTATATACTTGGTCAACTTTCCAGAAGGCAACGATTGATAACACACACTCTCAGTTTTCAAAGCTTCTCATGAATGTTAAAACATTACATTTGTATATATATAATAAAGTGAATAATCATAGGCCAGTGTTAAACCTTAAGTCAACGTTTCATATTAACATAGCAAATGAAGTTGCAGAATTCGATACAACATAAAGCATATGATCTTCTTACATCATATGAATTACAATCAGAGATCAATCATAGACCCAAACACAGAGCAGTTGTCCTGCGTGAGATACCCGGTTAACTTGTCTTATCGTCCTCCTCCGGTTTAGTTTCCAACCCAGCTATATCATCCATATCAGCAACAAGTCTCTCCACAGGCACCTTACTCACATCCCATCGCATCCCTATGTCTGAAACCAAACGACCAACGCAATACATCCCATATCCCGCCACAGCCAAACTCCCAAAACCGGCTACAAACCTGAGTGGTGAAGACATAACAACGCTGGCAGCTGCAACCATCGTAGCAGCTTGACCACTCCTTCCCACGTCAGTGTTCGCCACCAGCAAACCAGTTTTGCAATAGATTGCGAAATCCTCACAGTTGTTCTTGAAAACATTGTAAACACCGAAACCATTTCGCAAGAGGAAGTTTGCACGGTGAATGACTTCTTCCGGAGGATCTGAAGCTCCTATTGTGCAAGTGCCACCTCGAGGCTTGGCAAGAAAGATAGCGGGAGAGACACTGTACTCGAAGACGTAGAGATCACCTCCAGCGAGGAAGCAGTCGAGACAGGAGGAGATGACACCACCAACCTTGGTTTTATCACCACAGTTAGGACATGGGGTGTCTCCATGATTAGGGGCTGAACTAACAACGAGCTTGTCCAAGAAAGTACCAGTCCCAGTCTCTTGACCATCCCCTCGAGTGAAATGGTTGACTTGTCCTTCACCCACATAGATTCCTGCAAAATCACACACACATATGGGTTAGGAAAATATATATTACATCAGAAAGAAGAAAAGAGCCCAAAAAGATCTTATTAAGCTAAAACAAAACTAGAGAAGTTAGCCATACCATCCATATTCCTTTACAATGATCAAAGGATCACTATAGGGCCCTCAAAAAAATACTTGTATATACACTCATATCAATGAATCGAAGCAGAAAAAGATCATATAAATATTATTCCCCCAAATTTAAAGCTTACGCGAATCTCATCAGTTAAATCTAGAATTGATACGGTTTCAAATTGAATTCTCTAGCATCACCATCAATGTAGTACATTGTACGCATCTGTAACGAAAGAGAGAGAGAGAGAGAGAGATGGTGGTACCGTGATGAGCGTAAACATAGGCTTGACGCCATGAATAGATGTGATCGCCTGGCTTCACTTCATCTCTGGAGATCTTGTTGGAGAGAAACCCCATCTTTTCGCTTTCCGAAAACCTCGCCGCCGACGAACGAGAACCAGAAACTAGAGATTACGCGACGGCGGAGACTGAAAGCGATCTGGTTTTGCTTTATTCTTTTCTTTCTTCATTTAATTTTCAAAAACAAAATTACATCGTTGGCCGATTTTCTCCTAAAACGCCATCGTTTCAAGACAATAATTTTTTTTTTTTTTTTGTCAACCGCCCATTTACACTAGATCAAGTGGTGATCGGTCGAGTCGATTCTCCGAATAGAAACTCCGTCTGGTCAGGTCTGATCTAGATGGGAATATAAATAGTCTCTACTTCTTATTTCTTTAGCTACTGCATCCGCTCGTTCATTTTTACTCCGTGGAATATGAGATATACTCACATCCTCGAAGTCCTTCCGTAGTTGCTGAAACACCTTAATCTCTGTCGCAAAAGCCGGTCAATCCTCAGGTCTATTGGACAACTCCTATCGGTGTCCATGTGTCTATAAATTAGTCTCTCTGCTGTCGTCACATAACCCAAAATAGCTTGTCATAGAAAGTGTTTCATCTTGTTTGGAGTCTTTAACTTCCATACATAACTTTGGAGGTCTTTTAATACTTGATTCGAGAACCATTTTATGTGTAGTGCTAGTCTTGCTCAATTAAATAGATTATATCTGGTTTTAAGTGAATAGACTCATGGTTTCAAGACAATATAGATGGGCTTTTATTAAAACTAAAGCTCAAAATAAAACCCAGAGTTTTCACTCTCTTAAAATCAAAAATCTTGTTTGAGATTTTCGGATTTTCACTCTCGTAGTTAGCCATGGAAGTCTCAAATCACACCAGAAAACGAAAATCAATCTCCGCCGGCAACAACTCTCCGCCTTCACTTCCTCCGGCCTATCGAACCTCAGACGGATTCTCACCCAACACCGTAGATCTCTCCCTCCTCGAAGAGCTCGAGAAATCCTCCCACCACCAAGTCGAATCCGTCGATCTCAAAACCCTAAAAAAGCTAGTCCTCTCCTTCGAGCGCCGCCTCCGAGACAACATCGCCGCGCGTCTCAAGTACGTCGAGAATCCCGAGAAGTTCGCCGACTCCGAGGTCGACCTCCACGACGAGCTCCAAAAGCTCAAAATCCTCGCCGGAGCTCCGGAGCTTTACCCTGAGCTCGTCGCCTCCAACACCATCCCCTCCGTCGTGAACCTCCTCTCCCACGAGAACGCGGATATCGCCAACGACGTCGTCCAGCTCCTCCAGGATCTGACGGACGAGGACGCGCTGGAGGATAACGACGAGCCGGCGCGCGTGCTTGTCGACGCGCTCGTTGAGAATAACGTGTTGGAGCTTTTGGTTCAGAACATGAATCGGTTGAATGAGGCGGATGCTGACGAGGCCGCGGCGTTGTACGCGACGTTGACGGTTATTGAGAATCTTGTGGAGGTGAAGCCTTCTGTTGCGGAGATTGTGTGTGAGAGGACGAAGCTGTTACGTTGGCTTGTTTTGAAGATTAAAGTTAGAGACTTTGAAGGGATTAAGCAGTATGCTTCCGAGATTTTGGCTATTCTGTTGCAGAATAGTACGGCGAATCAGAGACGGTTAGGGCAGATGAATGGGGTGGATGCTGTGTTGGAAGGTGTGGCGATGTATAAGTCGAGGGATCCTAAGACTCCTGATGAGGAAGAGATGTTGGAGAATTTGTTTGATTGTTTGTGCTGTTTGTTGATGCCGTTGGAGAATAAGGAGAGGTTTGTGAATGCTGAGGGAGTTGAGTTGATGATTATTATTATGAAGCAGAAGAAGTATGCTTACGGGTCTGCGATTAGGGCGCTTGATTTTGCTATGACTAACTATCCACCTGCTTGTGAGAGGTTTGTGGATGTTATGGGGTTGAAAACAGCTTTTGCTGCTTTCATGGGTAAGGCAAGTCTTTTTTAAAATCCTGTTTCGTCTTCTTTTTTTATGAGGATTTTTTTTACAGTCTCTTTAGTGGTTTAATGGTGGTTTTGTGTTCTGTGTCTTAATGCTTAGATTCCGTTAAACAAGAGTATTAAGAGGGAGCGTTATAAGGAGGAGCTAGAGGAGCGGGTTATTTCACTGGTTGCGTCATTATTTGGTAAGTAGACAAGTGATATGTTCATCGTTAATATAATGTGTTTTCCTCCTTTCATGTTTTGAATTCTAAGTCTTTGGTTTCTTGGTTGTTAATTATATGATTCAGCTGGGATTTTAAGGGGTTCTAGGAGAGACCGTTTGTTAAGCAAGTTCGTTGAGAATGAGTATGAGAAGATTGACCGCCTTATGGAACTATACATAAGGTAATATAAATGTTCTGTCAATCTTCAATAATAGCATTTGCTTAGCATCTGATGAAAGAGCCAACATTTTCTTTGTGATAGCTTTGTTATATATCTCTTGAGTTTAGTGTGAAGAGCTTCTGATGAAAGAGCCAATATGTCTTAAAAGCAATTACGTTTTACTAGTATTTACCTCATAGTGGTGTCTTTGTACTTGGCAGATACTCTGATAGGGTTAGATCGGAGGCCGAGAGGTTTGACCAACTTGAGCTTGATGACCTTGAGGTAATTCACTTTCTCCTCAATATATTTTAGTGTCTTCATTCTGAGCTTGAATCTCTTGATGGACTGATTCCACTTTACAGCTGGATGAAGATGAAAAATATAACCGGAAGCTAGAATCAGGCCTCTACAGTCTCCAGGTTTGACTAAGTTTGGTTTATCTATTTTCATGTATGTATCTGCGGCATCCAAATGTGCCTCATATGTGTACATGGGATCCTTGACACACTTATACAGGCCTCTACGTTTTTTTAAATGATTTTTACATCTTCTCTTTTCTATTTATTCATAACCCTGAGTAATGTGAGCTTTAAACTTGCAGCTTATTGCTGTTATTCTGGGCCATATTTGGTGTTCTGAGTAAGTACCGTCAGTTAAAACACCCTTAAAATGCATTCCTAAGCTTAGTTTTAGGCATACTAATATAATGTAATCGTTCCATCTTATGTAGGCATTCTGGAATGAGAGCGCGGATCGAGCTGCTGTTGAAGCAACAAAAGCTAAGTAAAAACGACGTCAAGGAGATACTTCAGGTTATTTATTCTTTCACCTTAAAGTTGTCTTTGCAGCAATTATGATTTTTTTTATAAAACTTAATGTGGAGAAAATGATTCACTGAAACCCAACACGGATTAGCTACTAGTAGATGTTGGCATGGCGTATGAACTCAAACATTTAGCGCCAAGTTGTGAAAATTAAATCTCACATTATTGTCATACCATCTTGTTTTTACATGTACTCTTACGCGATGCAGCTTTATCTTTCCTTGTTTCTCGCTATTGCTAACATATATAAGTTTTGTCTCAGGAATATCATGACAACCTCGGAGATGTTGAAGGAGCTGAGGAAAAGGAACGAGGACAGGCGAGAATCCAGATGTTCATATCTGCAATGGAGTCAGAGAAGGAAAGATGATGGGAAAATCCCCAGATAGCTTCTCGTATCAGACAGATTCCTACGAGACTTCATGTTTTTTTGTTTCTCAAGAGGATTTGACAAGTGCAAAAAGTTTATATTATTTGGTCAGAGTACATGACTGTCTTTGGGATTTTAGTGTATTTGTAACCCTTTGATACAACAAATTTTTTTTACTCTGAATCATTCGACTTTCATGTTTACAAACGTATGCTGTCAGTGTGAACCTCGTTTAATTAGCTATATTACTTTGCTCACAACAGTGGACGTGCCGGAGTGGTTATCGGGCATGACTAGAAATCATGTGGGCTCTGCCCGCGCAGGTTCGAATCCTGCCGTTCACGTTTTGCATTTTCTTTAAATACTCATGTAATAAGGTTTTAATACGTATCAAATGAGACAACATAAGTGGACGTGCCGGAGTGGTTATCGGGCATGACTAGAAATCATGTGGGCTTTGCCCGCGCAGGTTCGAATCCTGCCGTTCACGTTTTTTTTTTTTTTTATAATCCAGAGTATTTTAAACTTTGATTCATTACAGCAAGGATCCCACCTGACCATTCATGGAAAGCTTTGATCACATTAACTTTGTTTGTAGCACATTTAATAAGCCTTGTTAGGGTACACGGTCTCCTTTGAAGTTTCCCTTTTTCTCTGCAGAGGCTTATGCAGTATGCACAGCTTATGGAATATCATATTAAACATTTACATATACAAAAGCAGAGTCACAATAAGAGCAACCTCAGACAGTTTGTTACACTGATACAGCCATATTTGATATTACAAGTAAAGACATGAGGATTGGCTCATCCGGAAGAACTAGCAGACCTCGCTGTTTCAATAGCTGCAACCAGATCATCATATTTGGCACCCGTAACTTCCTTCACCACTTGGTTATCCTTCAATATTTTAAAAGTTGGAACCACTCTTATTCCCAGCTCCTTTGCCAATGGCTGCCACCAAACCAAAAGAAAGAGTTCCAAAGTTACTATAGCTAATCCAACAACAAGAGCAACAATACATTGGTGTTAGAGAAATGAGATTTTTAAAGGAGGCAGAAGACAAACCCTGTTTTCAGGGTTACAGTCAAGCTTAAGAAACACAACGTCCTCATACTTCTCTGATAAAGCTTTGTATTTAGGAGCAATCACTTTACATGGTCCACACCTGCATTAGTATATACATCTCTTTAGTATATACTAAAGTATTCATATATATGGACTCTCAACAATAAATTGAGCTCTAGCTACTTCATTAACCATATAGAAGCAGAAGTGTTCAAAATTACATACATACCATTGAGTGTACATGTCAAGTACGACAATCTTATCACCGGCGGCTTTAACGATGGGCCAGAAGGTGTCCTTATCCACTTCCGTCACTTGACCAACACTTACATTCACTGTCTCTAAGCTACACCTCACCACATAGGAGTCTCCCCTTCTCACAGAATCCAATGAGCAGAAACCAATCCTCCTCGTCTTCGTCGCCACCCCGGAGTAAGAAATCCGACACTGCTTTTTCGCAGGACTAAATCCGCCGGTGGTCGGAGCTAAATACGTAGGAGATGGAGCGAGACGGAGAGACAGAGGCATTGTTGAGTTCGTTAAAGAGTGTGTCGGAAAAGAACACGATGAAGTTGATCAGCTTTGGTCTTGTGTATGTGTGCGGTCTCAACGGATTGAGTTAGTTAATTTATTTATGTACAACATTAAAGACGATAGTAGCCTCAAGCTTCTCCGGATGAAGGAGGATATTCCGGGGTAGTTATGTCAGTGTTTCGCTTTCGTGATAAATAAACGGGAGGTGTAGAATCTCTGAGAGAATTACGATGGATATTTATATTTTATTAGAAAATGACAATTATGTCCCTCAAATATTGATATAAAAAAAATGAGAATATATATTTTATTTTAATAAGTTTATTCCATATAAGAATGAATTATTTATAAAGCTTAACATAAAAATATAACTATTTCAGAGTAAAATACAGAGAACACTGAATGTCTCCGCGTGCAGTGTTTTCACGTCCGATCTGGATCCGCGGTCCGACCGCTAAATTCGGTGACCCGATAAGTAATTCGGTTTGGGTTTTAAGATATATCCACTAATTAAAAACCCGATAAAACCCGCTAAAAACCCTTAAACCTGGTGATCCTGCTATCGGTTAAACCCTTCAAGTTTCATTTTTATTTTAGAATTGTAAATATATCTTTGTAAGTTTTGGCATTTATTATGTATCCTTTCGATAAAATATTAAAAATAAATTTAAATTGTATTATTTTCAGCAAATATATTTTTGAATCTATTGACAAAAATAATTTATTAGTTCTTATTAGTTATTTAGTTTAAAGTTAGTTGTAACATTAAGAAGATGTTAAATGATCAAATATATAAAGCAGATGGTTGATGGTTGATTTATATTATTAAAAATATTTTGTTTCCACTTTTCTTCTTTGATCTAAACTTATATATAGAAAATATTTTTGGTTGTTTTATTTTAGTATTTATAATATTATTTAAGGTAAAATATTTAAAAATTATCTTCTTTAAAAAATATATTCGTTATTAGTTATTAAATAAAATAGTGAAATTATATATATATATGCATATATAATTTTCATATTTTAGTAGTTTAAGAAAACATTAAGATAAAAAAGCAAAATAAAAGCAAAAAATTATGAAATAAAAAGGAAAATAAAATATAAATTATAATAATGGCATTATGCATAACATTTTTGTAATTAACTACTTTAACATTAACATGAGAACTACACATAGGAAACTACTTTTCAAATAATATTATAGAGATTTAAAGTCATAATTTTTTGAATTGGCTTAGGACACTATAATACGTTAGACCGGCACTGACTACAACTGTAAGCATCACAGTCTCACAGATCCTACTTTATAATTTTTTTTTGTTACATGATTCTATGAGATTTGAGGCTTTAGTTATGTTATATGTAACTGTTGAAGAATCAATAACACAGGCTCAGGGGGAATACAAGTGAAGGATGAACAAAGCGGATCAATCTACACAGTTGGTGCTCACGAGCATAACTTACCCGAATGTAAAATCTATTATAATCTCGTGGATGATTATTACAGTCTCTTATTATCCTCATCCTCAGTCTGCTCACGAGCATAGATTACCGAAAGTAAAACCTAATCTACGCAACTTTGCTACACTAATAGGCAAGATTATATACTACATTATGCTACTAGTGTAACTGTTGAAGAATCAATAATACAGGCTCACGAGGAATAGGATTTTAATCTGTAATGGGACAAAAGGCTTCAAATGAATCTACAACAACCAAAACTAATCTCTTATGACACAAATGATGTAATTATGATTTTACCCTTAATAAAAGTTCAATATCAACCATTAGATCAGAATTTTCACGTTATAATCTGAACCGTCCGATTTTTAGGAATGAAATATTTACAACAATGTCACTAATGAATCTTACCCCTTGACCGTCGGATCTTATGAGTTTCCTTTAATCTTGGCCACACGTCCATCTTTCCTTCCTGCTCTATCTTCTCTCTTAATCTCAACCGCATGATCATTTCTTCCCTTTTTAATTACAGCCACAAAATTTTCTTTATCTCATTCTTTCATTCGACTACGTACAACTAGTATAACTCGTACAACTGAACATGTTAATTTTTTTTATAACTGGTATATAAATGTTATAATTTATATATAATATGTAGCTATTATAATTAACACAACAAATAAATAATATTTTACATATAAAATAATCAAAAATATCATAATCGGTATATAATAATATATTTCATCTATTTTATTTGAGGTTTATTAACTATGTTAGTCATATTATTATGATAAACAAACATTAAGCATATTTCAACAACGCTATGAAGTAAAAATATTGGTACAACCCCTAAACCAAGACATATAAACAAAATATATTTTTTTTATTATATAGGAGATAAATATAACTAGTATAACTAGTATAACTTTGACATTTCAGAAACTGAGAAAAAATAATTTAGTATTCCATATGAGAAAAAAAATCAAATATCATAGTTGATATGTACTCAGAAAAATCTATTTGAAGTTTCAAAAAAAAAATTGAAAACTATTGCACAACCATATAAGTTTGCATGATCTACCTTATACTTTTAAGGTTTGTTAACTTCGTTGTTCAAATAATTTTTGAAAACATATATCAAGTGGATTTTAATAAACTTGATGATTTCATTATATTGGGGCAAAGACATGTACACATAAAAAAGTAGTACAACTAAATTAAATTTAAATTTTTTGTGGTATAACTAATTTTTTTAATTTTACTGCCAAAGTACAACTATGTAAGAACTGGTATAACTCAAAAACTAGTACTACTATATACAAATCGGTATAACTAACAAACCAGTACAACTATGTAAAAATAGATACAACTCGTAAACTAGTATAACTACGTATAAACCGGTACAACTAATTGTGATTCTCTTTAGTATTGTTTTAAATGTGCATCATGTTTTAAATGTGTATCATGTGTTAAACATTGTGGTTGAACACTAACATTGAGAAGTTGTACTAGTTGTACCATTCATATATATCATTATCATCTTGTCATTATTTGTTTATACGAATAATTTTTTAATTAAATGTATTATGATATACTGAGTGGACCTTGTTAATTTTTAAAAATATAACAATAAAAAGTTATTTGATTCTCTTGATTATGATATACTTGTCATACATAATTCATTCTTTTCTTATAATTTTTTGTTTTATAGGCTCTTATCCTTTTGATGAAAATACAACAAACATTGATATGTTATCTTTTCATATCGGAATATGCAAGTTTACCATATCCTTCTAGTACATGTATTTATAATTGGTCAACTTCTTATCATATTTTCATGAATGCGCTTATGCATATTTTTCGAACTCATAATGATTTTTACATAATTTTTTGCATACTCTTCTTAGTGTCTTTCTATTGCAACTTTCCGGTTCCATGGCTACTTTCTTCAGTTTTGAGACCAAAAATATGATGATGATTTTTTTCCAGAAATGGTACAACTAGTATAACTAATACAACTTAAAAACAAATTATTATCAAATCAAATATTATTGAAAATAAACTATTTATGTATTTTGACACATTAAATCAGAGAAAGATTAGACCAACATGTCTCTTTAGTTCTACATCATTCTATCTTATAACATCATTTATATACTGAAAACAAAAACCAAAATATCACCTTATTAATTACAAAGTTGTAATTTTTATACTAGTTCTAAGTGTACTAGTTGTATCAGTTATACCAACTTGAGTTGTACTAGTTATATTAGTTTGGGTTGTACGAGTTGTACTAGTTATACTACATGTTCTTCTTTACCATGAATTCGAACATAAAACACTAAATTTGATTTCGAATAAAATATAATTGATTAAATATGATTATGGGTTGATCGATTTGATATAAGGAAACGAAAATCAGTGAATATTTGAATAAAAGTTTTCATTTTGTTTTTAAGTGAAGAAGTTAAAGAAACATAAATGGAGAAAGAAGAAGAAGAAAAAGAAAAAGAATCTAGGTTAAAATCGGGTCGGGTTATTGGGTCAAGTTACGGTTCGGATAGTAATGGTACGGATAGTAAATAAGTTGATGTCTTTTGGTTTTTTAGTTATTTATCCATGTTTTGTATTTAAATTTTAATGTAATATAAATAGAAAATAAGAGAGGTATAAATTAGATTTTCTTTGACTCATGTGGTCCATCTGAGAATTTGATCCGGAGGAATACAAGTGAAGGATGAACAAAGCGGATCAATCTACACAGTTGGTGCTCACAATCTCTCATGGTCCTCTTCTTTAACTATTACCAAACTTCTTACACTTGTTTCTCTCCTAATTCACTTCCTCTTTTACTATTAATTGAGGAGCCAACAAATCCTAGCTAAGACAGTAAGACTTGCTTTTGTAGTTTCAGTAAAAAAAAAAACCTATTGGTTAAATAAAAGCTTGATCCCTTTGTTGGTTATCATGTAAAGGATCTGATTCTCATTTGTTTTAAACAAAAATTAAGCCATTATTACATTATTGTGATGTGTTTTTCACTCTTCTTTAATGACATCAACAAGAACTAAAAACATAAACAAAAGACAAAACTGACAAAAGTATTTTTAGTTCCCAAAACAATGAATCTCTAACAGATAACAAAAAAAAGAAAGAAAGAATAAGAGATCAATGTAGAAAGGTGGGAAAAAAAAAACATAGAACCTCTCTTGAGTGATTTATTTGATGATGTTCTTGCGCAAACTCAACTTCTTCACTTTCCAGGCACAAACCTTGGTAAGTTTAAAAGTGTATTCACTCTTGCAACACCTTCTAGTGCAGAATACTCTATTCCATGTTCTGTATCCTCTTCTTTTATCAGCTTCTCAGCTTCACTTTCATCGATAGCAATCTCTTTCCCTGTCCTGACAGTACTCGACCGGCCTAGACCGCTTGGTCCTGATCCATCATCAATCTCAGTAGGTGTTTTTAGTTCATCTTCATCCTCAAATTTGGAGAAGGAAGAAGCTGTGGATATGGCGTTTGAGTCGTTGGAGTTTAGATACAAGCAAACAGCAGCACAGTCATCGACTTTGGAGGTAGGGTATTTGTGTCTCCAAGCTCTAACCGCAGTCTCAACTAAAGCTTTTGCTGCCGAGGCACGTGATGGTGCTGAAGCTACAATCCTTACTACTTCTTCATTGGTAAGAACATCCCAAATCTATATCACACAAACACTAGAAAGTGAGTAAAGGAATGTTTATGTTTGAGAGTGAGAGAGGAAGATTACCCCATCTGTCGCCAACACTATGAACTCATCGTTGTCAGTTAATCGGCGAAATGAAACCTCAGGAACAGAGATTAGACCAAAATCTTTAAGACAAAAGTCTCCGAAAGCACGTGCCATTGCAAGTCCAGGTGAGTCACAGTTTGGCAGCCAAACTCTACAAACTTCAGGTTCATCTCTAAGAGCAAACACACGTCCACGACACTTTTTTATTCTCTCTTCCTCAGCTGCAAAATCAATTGATTGGCAATTAACAAAACTTGAACAATGGGATCCATCATATGGACTTTGTTATCATTCAACCTGGTAGATTTGGTTTGAGATCCACAGTTAGTTGAACAGCAACAAGGCCATTCTCACCATCTCTTGTGCCCATCACAGCTCTAGAGTCCCCAACATTTGCAACTACGAGATACTCACCCTACGATATTGCATAGGATATATAGTAAAGACGCAGTAACATTGAACTACGCTACGCACCAAGACGTGACAGTACCTGTTTGATCAAAGTCACAGCTGTTGTACCACTGCAGAAACAGTCAACACTTCCATGGAACTTAAGTTCTCTGTCCACAACTTTAAAAGCCTTAAGAAACGCCTCTTTCAGAGTTTGAAACAATTCAGGTTCTGAGTTCTCTGGCCTAGGTTCTTCCTCAGCAGATACAAAAGAAGCCGTAGCAGCAACATCTTCAGAGTTGTTGATGCTGCTTGCACTATTAACACTGGTGACAGGTTTTAGAGCATCCTCAACTGGTACTTTTGCTTCCCAAAAAGCACTTAATTTGAGAGGAAGATTGTCTCTGACTCTCTTAGCAACCATATGACCATATGGTCCATGCCCATCAAACACTCCACAGAAGACTGTATCTGTCCTTGAACCAAAACTCTGCACACACAAATAAACCTATAAGAACCATAACAAAGAGAATAAGAGAAACAGAAGGGTTATTGTTTCTTAACAAACCTCCCAAACAACCATGGCATCTTGATTAGGGCCTTTCTTGCCTTGTTGAGTGAAGATACAAGCAGCCTCACTTGATCCATTCAAGTACATACGACCGGGAACTCGATGCAAAGGATCATCTCTCCTTGAATCAAAGGATGAGTTTCTGGAGCCAAGTTTCTTTTTAGAGCTCTTCCTCTTCCTGACACCAAAACCAGGAGAGCAAGGAGAGCCCGGTCTAGGACTCATGCTCTCAGCAGATAAACAGGACCCCATTCTCAGGGCCCTGATTATATTAAAAAGGCACTCCAGACCAACTGTTGTACAGTCACACCCACGCTCCTCCAGCGAGTAAAGATCGAAATCTTTATAGATCACAGTTATCACCACAAAGAGCAATGATGATTCAGCTATGGAAATAAATAAATAAATAAATAAACCACTTTTTAGATCCCAATGATCACCACAAAGAGCAAATGAACAAACTAACCTCTATATTAGTTCCAGCTACTTTCTGCAAGAACACATATAGAGAATAATAAAGAGAAATGATTCTTATAAAACCCAAAACCGCCAAAACTGAATGAAGAAAGAAACAAATTGAATAAAAATGAAGCCTTTCAAAGCTGACCAAGAAAAGGCAAAAGTTAAGACTTCTGGGTTTTGAGTCTTCAAAAAAGAAAAAAACGTTTTTTTAGTCTCCTTTTTGCTTCCTACAAATAAAATATTTGTGAACCCAAAAAATAAAAGTTTAAAGAGGAAAAAGGAAGAGATCTACGTTGCTTGTTTTTTGCTATTGGTGAGAATCCATTCAAACAGTGGTTATGAAAGAGACTACAAACACGAGAAACATGACAACCCTTTCTTCTGTCTCTCTCTCTTTTCTGCTTTGTCTGCAACCAATGAAGAAGAAAATCACTGAGAAAAATTTAAACCACAAGAAAGAATCAAACTTTAAATCGAATTGGATATGAAAAGAGACTCACCAGCAGACAGATCAATCAGAAGGTAAGTAGGAGGATCTCTGAATCAGATTCAATCCGAATAATTTTATAATAAAAAAAAAAAGCTAAGCTAAGAAAGGAAGATTATGTTGGCGGGTAGAGAGAAATAGAAGAAAAGGTAACTGAGAGAGAGATAAAGATGGAAACTTTTTTTTTTAAAACGAGAAAGAAAAGCAACCACCAGCTACAAACTCGTTCTTTCTTCTTCCACTTTCTACTTTTGTGAATTTAGAGAGAGAGAAAAGAGAGATAGAAACAGAGCAATGTAGATGGGTCCGTCACACTCTCTAAACAGATATAATACTAATATTTAGAGGTTTTGATTTTTTAATTAAAATTGCCTATTTTCATAGAGATATTAATATTTTTAGACTTTCCTACACATAAATTTCGTGAAATTATATAAAAGAAAAATCATTCAAATATCAAAATCATTTTAATAACGTCTCTCAATCAGTCAATCAACACATGAAAGTGAGAGATTATCAGATTTAATCCATTATCTTTAAATATGGACTCTAAATTAGTATATTCCTGTCAATTATTATACTAGAATACTACTTATTTGATCAGCTTAATCATGTTTAGTGAGAGATTATCAGATTTAATCCATTATCTTTAAATATGGACTCTAAATTAGTATATTCCTGTCAATTATTATACTAAACTACTTATTTGGTCAGCTTAATCATGTTTACTCTTTTTCTAAAGTTAAATCATGTATATTTGATTTTACTTTTATCAAAATTACGTAGTTGTTATGAAAAAAAGAATGACAGTTTAACGAGAAATGGTTAAACAAAAATTCAAAACTGAATACATGCACATTGTGAGTGTGAACAAAAAAAATGTCAGTGGAACCCCGAAGAAGAGTCAAAAAACACATGCATGCACACTGTGAACACAAGAACTCAAGACACATGTCGGCAACACGAAGCACAGACTCCAACACGTATCAAAACTTCTTCTCATGCAAACAGATCTGCAGATCAACGTTTTGAACAAGAAGACAGCCTGCGTTTGTGTGTTTTCTTCTTTCTCTCATGAAATCCAAAAGCATTCTTGACTCTTATCAGTCTTATCTTCTTCACATCTCAATCACATAATCAAACTTCTTACTTGGATAATACCATAGATTAACTTGATTTGGATCAACCTTAATACCATAGACTACATGGCTGTTTAGAAATGATTAATTGTTAGTTCAAGTATTATCTATCTACTAAATCAATCACATCTCAAGCAGATCAAAGCAATCATCTCATCTAAATCATTAAAATACCAAAAGTCATCATATCATCACCAACATAAAAATCTCTTACTTCAGGAACACCAATCACAACAAGATTTTGAGTCATCATAAGAATTGTATAATCTAAAACTCGATAATAAAAATAAGAAATGCAACACAATCTGTTTCATTTGCCTTGAATCGAATCACTGAGCGACCCTTTGATCTCTCGTTTCAAGAGAAGTCAAAGACGTTCCAACAGTTTAGCAACGAAACGGTCTCTAGGAACACTCTCCTCACTTCCCTCGTCCATCTTCCTCAGTGTCACATTAACACCTTCACTGAGTTCTTTCTTGCCTACGATCACCATCCAAGGAATCTCACAACCCGCGCTACGAGCACGATCAAAATGCTTTCCTCTCCTTTTGGTCACAAGATACTCTGCAGTAATACCAGCTTCCCATAACTCACTAACCAGTTCTGCAGCTACCCCTAGCTTATTATCCTCCATTACACTAACCAAAACTTGCGTCTCTGTAGATAGAACAACCTAAATTCATACCAAAAAATTAGAAGAAAAAAAACAATAAGAAAAAGGAGCATTAATCAACACTTTTGTGAAGTAAGTTTACTCGTTTTGGTTCCTCTTCCAGTAGATTTTGTTTATTTTCCATTATGTTAAACACTCTCTCGATCCCCAAACTCATACCAACCGCAGGGACTTGCTTTTTTCCAAATATTCCTATAAGGTTATCGTATCGACCACCTGCAGCAATTGATCCAACCTGCAAGTTGTCGGACATTTCCTCATCCTCAGCAGCTTCTCTACGCAGAACGGCTTCAAAGATGACTCCCGTGTAATAATCAAGACCTCTAGCTAGACTCAGATCAAAGATCACTTTTTGAATGCACTTTGATCTCTCAAGCGCTTCAAACATTATACCCAACTCATCAAGAGCTTCATTTGCTGACTTGTTACCTAAAAACTCACTCCCTTCTTCTCTCAGTTTAGACAGTAGCTCCATAGGAGCTCCTTTCATGTCGACAAAGCTCCGGATTCTGTCTGCAACCTCTGATGACAAACCCTTCTCCTCCACCATTTCTTTCTTCACTTGCTCTCGTGATTGCTTGTCTAACTTATCGATACTCGAACAAATGGTTCTGAATTTCTCAGCTGGTACTCCACATATCTCCAGCATTCCATCTAGCAACTTTCTATGGTTCAGTTTCACCACATAGTCTCCAATATCCAATTTATCAAGGAGCTCAGTTAAAATCTTGACAACTTCAAAATCAGGTCCCATTCGTTCAGACAAACCAGCGATGTCGAAATCACACTGGTAAAACTCTCTGTACCTCCCGTGAGATGGATTATCTCTTCTGTACACTTTACCTATTTGGTATTTTTTGAATGATGTGATACCATTCATAGCACAGTGCCGTGCGAACGGAACAGTTAAATCGTATCTTAAAGAGCATAACTCTCCACCCTGATCAGCAATATCGTATATCAGCTTTGAGTCCTCTCCATACTTTCCCATAAGCATCTCTCTTAGCTCAAAGACAGGAGTGTCAAGTGCTGTTGCACCGTGTTTCTTGAAAACACTTTGTATGGTTGAAAATGTATTTTCTCGGATTATCATCTTTTTTTGAGAAAAATCTCGAGTACCCTGTCATGTTAGAGGAAGCAAACAACAAACAAATGAGAAAAATAGATAGAGACTCTATAGGCCTAAAAACACTTTTGATGATGAGATCAAATGAAAATTTACCTTTGGAAGTTTGGGAAGTCTCCTGTTTTCGTTACTTTCTACAATCTCTTTCACTTTAGCCAATAAGCAATCAAAATCCTGACCCTCAGGATTAAAAAGATTTAAGATCTGATCCACAATCTGGTCACTCACCAATCTATCTTTGATAAACTGGATAATGAGGCTTGTCCCCTTCCCTAAGAGGCTCTTTAACTCAGCAAGTGCAAAATATGCAGAAGCTGCTTCCAAACCAACGATTCTCCACACAACGCTCAGAGACTCATTCAACATATGAGCTAATCTGCAAGGATCCTCTTCAACGAGAGCTAACTTAAGACCACTCTTCAGATTCTCAAACTCAGCACAACTCTCTTCCAACAAGTGTTCCCTCAGATTATCATTTACAATGGAAACAACACAAAGTTTAGCACGTTTGAACGAACATTCACCCAAGTTTTTAATCGGTACACACAAAGCTGACAATGTTGCTCCTAAAGACTCACCAATTCCAACAACTCCTTTAACAGCTGAATTCAACTCAACCCGAGCATCCGAGTGAACACTCCTCACCACGTCTCTAAACTTCCCATGAATCCTCGGAATCTTAGAAACCTCTTCAACCCCAACTTTCCCAACAGCTTTAGACCCATTTAACAACACCTTGAGATCATTAGCAACACTGATGGCATCTTTATTACCGAACCCATCTCCAGAATCCAACGAACTAAACGAAGTGATATCACCTTTCGTAGCCTCAACACTCAAGGCAGCAACAGAGTCAACAATCTGAGACAAAGCCGTCGCTTTGTGATCTATTACTGAACATATTCCAACCAAAGAAGCACAAGACTTCTCCAACACAACACTCTCCTCTTCCGTCACCTCCACGTCACCAAACTCGAACGTCTCATCATCCTTTGAATTCAGAATCTCCAGTATCTTAACCGGAAGAACAGACCGAACCGAACCGGAGGAGTTTGACAAAAGAAGCTTGTTTAAGAGCACAACCAGAGAAGCTCGTTTCTCTTCCTTCGTTAACTCTTCAGCGAGGATACCAAAGAAGGAGCTTCTTTTGATCAAAGGAAGGGGTTTGGTGGAGAGTCTCTCTATCGCAGAAGAATCGATGCTTACGTTAGAGGCGCCTGAAGCGATCTTGTAAACAGAGGAAGAAGAAAAGGATGATCCTTTACCTCCGAGAGTAATCATCGACCTCTCCGCAGCCATTACCACACTAAACTTGCAAAGCACGAGAGATAGAGGGGGCCAGACAGAAGAAGGAAGCTTGTTTAGGGTTTTATGTAGAGCCTTTTGAGTTTATATAACGCATGAACACGGCACTAGAGATTATCACTCGGTTTTTTTCGGGAAAGTATCTACAAATGCAATTTAAATTTGTTAAAAAAAAATCAATTATGGTTAAGTATCTGAGTAAAATTGAAATTAATCCCATAACATTTTCTATATTATACAAAAGAGTAAAGTATCTACAAATGCAATTTAGACTTGTTGAATAAACAAATTATGGTTAAACATCTGAGTAAAATTGGAATTAATCCAAATTATATTAAGAAAAACATTTTCTATATTATAAGTAAAGTATCTACAAATTAAATTTAGAATAGTTAAATAAATCAATTATGGTTAAGTATCTTAGTAAAATTGGAATTAATCCAAACTATATTTTTTTAGAAATTTGGGAATAGTTCAGTATTTACAAAATTCGAGTTTGGTTTCGTTTTTTTTTTTGGTAAAGTATCTACAAATGCAA